TTTCCCTTATAATCTGCCTTATCCATAGTAAGGTTCGTATTTACTTTGCTTTTATAAGGTGAAGTCTAGGATCTTTCTTTAATTCATGGTATGATTTAACAGTCCTTTGAGGACACTTCGACTCCACAAGTCTAAGCAAAGCCCCACATACTATGCCTTTGCAAATGTTGAACATTTCAGGGGATAGGTCCCCATGTTTTTCTAGACTGCAAAAGGACTTGGTAATGTTAACATTATTAATGTCCCTACTAGTAGGCGCGAAACTAAACTCATATCCCAATGCTGTCTGTTGGTCACATCCGACAGGTTGATAACGAACTCCGGGATAGCATCCTGAGACCAGCCACTTTGTACCATAAGACTGTTTAGTTTCCTGGCATGTAAACATTCGTTCTCCGTTCATTATTCTCACTCTGTATGTGTAATTTAATAAATGATCCTGACATTCGGGTGGTACCATGTTGAAGAAATTATGTTTGGCCTTTCTCGCTTCAGTAAATAACATTCTCCTTTCGTGTTTAAGCAGATCAATATTCTTAGTAATTACTAACCTGTTGAGTTGGCACTTTCGTAAAATACTAATTTTAAGGACGCTTTACGGCTTTAAGAAGAACAAATTTTTGAAAGAGAAAACAGCAATGAAAAGGAAGGAAAATGTCTAGAGAATTGGGGTACAAAATAAGTGACTAGGAAATACATCAAGAAGGGTCCAGATATATAAACAAACGGCAGAATAAGGATAGTATGTACGGAAAACGGGACGCGGTAGCTGAATGACGCCATGTGGGTCCCTACCGCGTGCACTACAATAATTAATGTATGCCTCCCAGTGTGTACTGAACCCCATAAAACAGGTAAGGTTGCTTAATATTGGCCAATATTCTATGGAATCTTACTGTGGAAAACGTCGGAATTATCACCTGATCACAGACCGAGCCGCGGGGGCGTTGACCCCCGAAACCCTCTCCAGGTAATGTCATAGATGCTGCTATTGATATAATGAGATTAAAAACTGTAACTTAATAGACAAAACAAAAGACATCAAGTGCAAGTAATTTTTTTTATATTTTGCAGCCCACTAATATGTTTTACTGGCGTAAATTCCATCATAAATATACAGGGACCCCTATGTTTCTAACCTAGGGTCCAGGAGCTAGCTGAAAAACTGAGAAGGTGGGCAGTGGAGGAGGGACATTGTTTGTCACCCCAATGTTCCCAAATTCCCACAGGTCTTCAAGATACATAAACATTAGGAAATTACAGTTTGTTATTGTTTCGAGACTTCTTCCCTGAGTGGTTGGTGGACGATTAATTCCGGATTGTGTTCACGTCATCCTCGACCCTGATCTACAGTCAGAAATATAATTAATAATTATTATTATTATTATATTATATTTAAACAAGTCGGGCCGTCTCCCACCGAGCAGGGTGACCCAAAAAGAAAGAAACCCAAAAAAAAATATTTATAATTAATTTTATTACCCATCCCTTTCATGGGGGGTGCCCAAAAAAAGAAAGAAATCAAAAAAAAATATTCTCTCAAAACTAAATATCCAAAACCCCTTTTTGCAGAGTCCCCATTCCAAACCCAAATATTATATAAAAAACCCATTTCCCTGAAAACCTTCATTAAAATTTTACCCCTCGACCCCAAAAGTCATTTTAAATCCATTTTCCCATTTCCCCTATTAACCCTCCCCCCCTTGTTAAAAAGTCCACCATTTCCCCAAAAATCCTTTACCCCCTCCCCCCTTTTTCGAAAAAACCCCTCCCCCCCTTTCCTTCCCCCTTTTCCCTCCACATTTCATTTGATCCTTTCTCTTAAATGCCAAAACCAACCAACAACCCCTCTTAAGCCCTCGCTAATACTTTTTTTTACTCCACATTCCCCCCTAATTTCCACACTCCATTTTCTGCAAAAATTTTTACCCCCAACATATTGCCCTTAGACAGTACATCTCCACTGCCTCCAACCCCCCCTTGTGCAGCATTTAAAACCCCAAGCTTAAAACCCCCATAAAAGAGTTGGTAAACTATACTTTCATCATTCCTTCTTGCCCCCATAATAAAATTTTTTTGCCTCCACATTCCCCTAAATGAAACCACTCCCCTTTTTTTCCTTATCAATTCTATGTTAACCTCATCCTTCATAAATCCCCCGCCGAACGTCACCCCCAAAAACTGAAAACATTCACTTCTTCCATACTCCTCCCAATTTGATATTCTTTTTTTCTTTATCTAAACATTTAATACTCTATTACCTTACTCTTTTTTATGTTTCATTTTCAACTTTCTCCCCTTTACACACACTCCAAAATTCCCCCAAATAATTTTAAAATTTTTTTTAAAAACTCCAAAAGCACAGTATCATCAGCAAAAAGAACTGTGTATTTCCCCATTTTGTTTGATTCCCCATAATTTAATCCCCCCCTCTCCCGAACCCCTAGCATTTACTTCTTTTAAAAACCAAAAAAAAGTGACTTTAAACCCTCCCGTCTAAGACCTATTTTTTTACCGGGAAGTATCCCCTCTTCACACCCCAAACCTGACCTCACTATCCTCATAAAAACTCTTAAACAGCATTTTAGTAACTTACCCCCTTTCCAAAATTTGCAACCGCCACTACTCCTCATCCACTCTATCATATCCTTTTCTAAATATAATTGCAAAAAAAAACTTCCCTTCCTTTTTTTAAAAATACTGTTCCTATTCTCAATGTAAACACTTGATCACTAAACACTACAAAAAATTATAAAATAATAATTTTCATTTTTTTAAATTTTTATTATTTTTTATTATTTTTTTAAATTTAGGATCGCTGATTCCAAAAGGGGCAACAGCGCCAGGAACATAGAGGGAATCAAATACGTTTAAAAAGGGAAGGTTTTTCCTTTTCCCAAAAAGGAAGGGGAAGGGGGTTGTTCAGTTCCTTAACTAAGGGAAGGGGAAAGGGTTTTTCCATTCCCTTTAAATAAGGAAGGGAAGGGTTTCCGTTCCTTAACTAAGGAAGGGAAGGGGGGTTCCGTTCCTTTAACTGGAAAGGGGAAAGGGTTGTTCCCTTCCTTACAAAAAAATTGTTTTAGTTCCTTCTAAAAGGGAATTTATTTTTTAATAAGGGGGGGGGTTTTCCAATTCCTTTAATTTATAAATCTTCATCGGTTCTTCTCCCTATTTTTTCAGATGAGCTTTTTCGTTATTTTTATTAGAATTAAATTCTGATCTGGGAAATTTTCCAAAGGGTTCCTCAATTTAAAGGAATCTTAGCAACTGAATGTTCCCTTCCCAAGGCGTTGGTATTCCAAAGGGATTAGTATGAGAAATGGTTGAAACCCAAGGTAAAAAATAGAACCCTGGGGCAATTTGGGGACAAATTTGGGAAAAGTTTTGCCAAGGTTCATAGCCCCTCAAAAGGAAATCTCAAGAGAATAAACGGCCCCCAATTGAGGGTATTGGGCATCCTCAACTTAATGAAAACGATAAGCGGGGGGCGTTTCCTATAAGAAAAGCAGAGTCCTTTGGGGCACATTTTAAAAAGGGATAGGGCCCAAGGTTAGGGAAGTGGAATTCCCAATATTCTATTCAAGAGATTATGACCCCAAACGGCCCCTCGGTTAACGATTCCTATTCTCCCCCCACTCTTATATTTTTTCCTTTGTATGGATGTGAAGCCACTGCGTGGCGAAACGTTTCCTCAATAAAGATGCCCAAGAGTTGCACATGTGTCTAATTTATCAATGGGATTAGTCCTTTCCCCATGAATGCAATAATAACCTCGGCTAACGAACATCAGCTTTTCTGTCATTTTCCAATCAATATTACAGTATTTACATAATAGAAGGATGTCTATGATCAAATGCCAGAAACCTAACACAATATTGACCATATTTGGTTATTAACAATATTACAGTGAAAAATTACGTTAGCTGCGCACAGTTATGTAATAATTACAGCGTTCAGTGTATAGGAATGTGATGATTTTGCCACTGCACCATTGTTTTGGTGGATAATTTAACAGAAAAAATTCTTTGCATTGTTTTTTTCAATATTTCAGCTGCTTCTTTTCCATCATGTAAATATGACAATACCAACTGGGGTGTGCAGTGGACACAGTTATGATCAGAACTTCTGAGAAAAAACTTTTTTGCGGCAAAAAAAGTCCACCCCAAACTTAAAAAATCCAAGCGTAAAAAGTATTTTACTCAAATTCTTGGTTAAGTTACGTTAAATTTAGTTAGGTTGGTTCTTCTGTTGAGGTATCCCCCCCCCCCCACACAAAAAAAATTCTTCCCATACCCATAAAAAACAAGTTACACTGCTCGATCAACTTATTTCTTGAGAATTTACATAATAACCCACATTATAGGAAGAGCTGAAGTCATTGTTCACCGATATTATTATTATGTCTACTCCAACATTTCAGGTAAATTTATCAATTATTACTCATTTGATTCTTGTACTTATCTAATATTATCACAAATAACCAAACACACACAAATTTAAACCCGGAAAACACGATACTGTCCCACTTTAGACATACAACAGAGTATTCAACTTGTGTTTCGTCACATCGCTTCTTTCACTTCACTGTTTCAGTTTCATAAACTCCTTTCTCATGCCTTTATTACATTGATAATGATACACTGATGGTGTAAAGATACCTAGATATTAAATAACAAAAAAGGCACAATACCGTGACTGGAACGATACACAAATAACCCGCACATAAAAGAGAGAAGCTTACGACGACGTTGTCCATGGTTCAAGTCGGACCGAAACGTAGTCGTAAGCTTCTCTCTTTTATGTGCGGGTTATTTGTATACCTAGATATTGTACATTTCTTATTCATTATCTTGTCTGAATTAAATATACCTTTGATATAATTATACAATATTTAACCATTTTTATGCATTTCAAAAATTGCAATGACCAGTATTTTAGACCATAAAGAGAGCACAGAGAACTTAAAAAAACAACAGTAATTTTAAGTGCAGAGCATTTTTATTGTACTAGCCGAAATAGTGATGTATAAAGTCTTGGAAGGTTGTTATTGATTATTAATTTCAGACATCAGGTTGGAACATACTGGACGGTACTCATGGCCACCAGATTTTTCTCTTGTGATATTAGTCAATGTTACCAATAGCCGCCATACCCTCCACCGAATCCTCCGCCAAAGCCGCCACCTAGGCCGCCACCGAAACCTCCGAAGCCTCCTAAACCTCCGATGCCACCTAAGCTGCCTAAGCCTCCAAAACCACCATAACCTCCTAAGCCGCCTAAGCCTCCATAACCACCATAGCCTCCATAGCCACCATAGCCTCCATAACCGCCAAAGCCTCCGAAGCCTCTGTTGCGATAGTGATGGCGATGAGGATCCGCTAAAGCGTCAGGGAGGGCCACTGGGGCTGGCAGGGCCACAGGGGCTGGCAGTGCCAGGGCCATCCCCAGCATCAGGCACAGGAACACCGCTACTAATGTCTGGGGAAGAAGATAACGAAAGTTAACACAGTTAATGTATGACAGTCTGATAGTAGTAGTAACATGATGTTCAAATTGTTGACTAGTCCAGTGATACATGATGTTCAAATTGTTGACTAGTCCAGTGATACATGATGTTCAAATTGTTGACTAGTCCAGTGATACATGATGTTCAAATTGACTAGTCCAGTGATACATGATGTTCAAATTGTTGACTAGTCCAGTGATACATGATGTTCAAATTGTTGACTAGTCCAGTGATACATGATGTTCAAATTGTTGACTAGTCCAGTGATACATGATGTTCAAAATTGTTGACTAGTCCAGTGATACATGATGTTCAAATTGTTGACTAGTCCAGTGATACATGATGTTCAGATTGTTGACTAGTCCAGTGATACATGACGTTCAAATTGTTGACTAGTCCAGTGATACATGATGTTCAAATTGTTGACTAGTCCAGTGATACATGACGTTCAAATTGTTGACTAGTCCAGTGATACATGATGTTCAAATTGCTGACTAGTCCAGTGATACATGACGTTCAAATTGTTGACTAGTCCAGTGATACATGACGTTCAAATTGTTGACTAGTCCAGTGATACATGACGTTCAAATTGTTGACTAGTCCAGTGATACATGACGTTCAAATTGTTGACTAGTCCAGTGATGCATGACGTTCAAATTGTTGACTAGTCTAGTGATACATATTTTTTCAAATTGTTGACTAGTCCAGTGATACATGACGTTCAAATTGTTGACTAGTCAGTGATACATGAGTTCAAATTGTTGACTAGTCCAGTGATACATGAGTTCAATTGTTGACTAGTCCAGTGATACATGACGTTCAAATTGTTGACTAGTCTAGTGATACATGATGTTCAAATTGTTGACTAGTCCAGTGATACATGACGTTCAAATTGTTGACTAGTCCAGTGATACATGACGTTCAAATTGTTGACTAGTTCAGTGATGCATGACGTTCAAATTGTTGACTAGTCCAGTGATACATGATGTTCAAATTGTTGACTAGTTCAGTGATGCATGACGTTCAAATTGTTGACTAGTCCAGTGATACATGATGTTCAAATTGTTGACTAGTTCAGTGATGCATGACGTTCAAATTGTTGACTAGTCCAGTGATACATGATGTTCAAATTGTTGACTAGTTAGTGATGCATGACGTTCAAATTGTTGACTAGTCCAGTGATGCATGACGTTCAAATTGTTGACTAGTCCAGTGATACATGACGTTCAAATTGTTGACTAGTTCAGTGATACATGATGTTCAAATTGTTGACTAGTCCAGTGATGCATGATGTTCAAATTGTTGACTAGTTCAGTGATACATGATGTTCAAATTGTTGACTAGTCCAGTGATGCATGACGTTCAAATTGTTGACTAGTTCAGTGATACATGACGTTCAAATTGTTGACTAGTCCAGTGATGCATGATGTTCAAATTGTTGACTAGTTCAGTGATACATGATGTTCAAATTGTTGACTAGTCCAGTGATGCATGACGTTCAAATTGTTGACTAGTCCAGTGATGAAAACAGTTAAGTTGTTAAATAGGCCATTGATGCTATATGGTCACATTATTGTCTGCTTCACGACAAACTATAAAATGCAAAACGAGAAAGAACCATATTCACATATCGTAACTTAAATAAATTTTACATGTTAATTTCACATGGTGTTTTACTAATAAGTGCTTTCCACAGTCTGTCAGGTTAAGTACTGCTGGGACGGGGCCATAAATGGCTAGGCTATTTTATAAATATGGTCAAGCATTAGCATATAGCCACTTGGTATCTCAGAAGAGCTTATGATACTGCCAAGTTATTGATATAGTACCACAGTAACATTGTTCACCACCACAATGATTGGTTCTTATATATAAAAATAGTTATAACAGTAACTATAATTTTTAAAGGGGTGGAGGGGTAAACCAGCGGAAGGCCTCGGTCAGATGACCAAAAGCTCCAACGGCGGGTCATCATCTAAGACCCGTGTCAGGAAACACTTGTCTTGTTTCCTGACAAACCTTACCTAACCTGACCTTGGTTCCTGAGATACTGCCATAGTAACACTGCTCACCGCCATACTGCCAGGTTGCTGATACTGCCCTTAATAATGATACTCATATGCCATTCCTAGTTATATAAATTAAACATACTGTGATAACATTCACTAATTTTTTGAATATATCCACTGATATTGTGAATATATCCACTGATACTGTGAATATATCCTCCATATTGTGAATATATTTACCAGTATTATAGACAAATTTGCTATTTTAAATATGGAAAATTGCATTTACCTGAATGTAACTAATTATGTACATAACAGTAAATGATAACAAAGATAATTATTATTTATCAATGTTATATAGACAAGTAGGAATTTGAGACAGCCTAGTCGCAAAAAAAAAAAATGTCTCCCTTCGATACCTACCACTGCATAACCACAAGTTGTCTCTGACCTATTTAATTAAATGAAATATAATACACCAGGAATACTGTAAAATAATAAATTTGTGAGACTGTATTTTAAAAAGATTATATATAAATTCAAATATACATAACAGAATGAAAAATATCTTAATATCACTCACCAATTTGAGCAGGAGATCTTTTAGCTGTATCATACTCTGAAAAACCTCACTAACTAAATTTATGAAAACACCTGGCCAGAATATACACAAAGCTAGAGAGCTTCTCTGAGGTGTTCCTGGAGCTGTCTTGTCCAGTCGTCTGAATAACTCAATTATGCCAGGAATGCACATGTCCAACAATTTCGCCTCCTATTTGAGAGGTGTCAGCCCAATTTTAACCTCTAGAGCACGACAATTCCTTCCATTAACTAACGTTGTATCCAATTCCAAACCAAGATGGGCGAGTCCTCGTCCAACACAGCGCCGCTTCCGTTTTTCGGATTACATAAATTTTAAATACAGTATGGCCATCTATTTACATTTAATAACTACTGTATTGTGGAAAATATTACAGTAATTTCCACACTGTGGCCGGGCAGAAGTTCTTTTGCTAAACGACTCAAATTGCTCATTTGGAATTGGTGGAGGTCCTGGGTACATATAGGGAAATCGGCATCCCACACGGCGACATATGACACAAGATTTAAATCACCCTTTTTACACTTGCTGAGAATCCAGAAAGTGTTCCCTAATAAACTTAAGGTATCTTGTACCCACCATGTATTACATTTTTATGGGCAGTTAGCCAATTAAATTTGTTAATGATGAGTTTTGGGCAGTAAATAGAATGTTTACATAACACCCAATCCAGGCATTTGTCACCTACCTCTGCACCTAATTACAGGTGTTCGCTAATACCGCCCAAGTTTGCTCTATTATGGACCTTTCACATTACTTTTCCATACATCATTTAATCTCATCTCCTAATTTCCTCCTGTACCCATCTTTATCCGAATATGTCAAGAGGATGTAAAACTTAAATGAAATAGTCAACTTGTTTAGAAATTTTTTTTACACACCAACTTAAATACATTTGATTAGTGTTGGGATAAAGAAAATACCTATTAATATCAAAGGCTAAGGGAGGACAAACTATTGGAGCGTTGGTCACAGTAATTTCACAGGAGCATATATACCGCCTTTAGTACAGGCCAATTAGCTATTACCAACCAGCTCGTCCCTTTAAACCATGAATACAGCATTTACAAATTTAACATGAGGTAAACCACAGAACAATAAATCAGCTGGATGCTCTCACCAGTATATGATTAAATTTATTAACATATGCTGACCCAAACTATTATACTTCTCTGCATCTGATTAATTTACCAGCGACTGTTTGAACATACTCATTTTAGCGTTTCCATTACGAATCCATTGTAAGGAATACCTCTCATTATCGAGACCAACGACATGTCCTAATATTTATCTCCTGCAACTTATTCATTACATAATTAGCTAATTTGACACCTACATAAATGGCTGTTAATTTTTCAACTGAGTAAGGTACGTATTCTAATTAGACATTTTAGCTTAGACATAAAAATAGAGATAACACAATTACATGGAAGGTAAGTAACTGCTCCATATGCCAATTTTGAAGCATCACAAAAATTTGGAGTACATTTTCCCATCTGGATTGGCACCGGGCGTGGGAACTCCAACATTGGATTTTCTCATAATCTCCAATTAATTCATCCCACCTGTTAAAGAATTCCTCAGGTAGAATTTCATCCCTAGCACATTTAAGGTTTCCATCTTCCCTGAATTAATAATTTCCCTCTTATAGTAGGGGTGACACTAACCTAGTGGATAAACAGTTGTAAACTTCAGCAAGCAAGACTCTACTTAGTTAATTTATTGCATACTGTAATAAATTAGGTTTTAACATAACAAATATCTCTCAGTAGCCCAGGTAATCCCAATGCATTACTACATTTAGGTACTTCATCTCCAGGTAATCTTAACTTGATTTTGTCCTTTAATTTGGACGAATGACTATCCCATTCCCTCAAGGCATAGTTGGCTACCGTGTCATTACTCTATTAGCTCATCGTAAGTCATTAATCGTTCCTCTTCATTACTCACAACCAGAAACGTGGTCAGCATAAAAATTGTTATCATTACTTACTCAATGACTTTTCATACGTTTAATGTCGCAATTATCGGCGCTTGAGTAGAACGACTGGATGTAGCACCAAATAATACGCTCCTAAAGCGAAAGTTTTCAGAGGGCGAAGGAGTGGGTCACTAGGATTCTCAGGCCAGAAAATGCGGACAATCCCGTCATCCTCTTGGTAAACCTACTCTTTGAAATTTTTACTTATGTCACCGTAAAGGATAGTCCTTCACTCGAAATTTAATATCCCAAATTTTTTCCGTCAACGAGGGACCTGCATAAAACAATCTTTTAAAACTAGGTACGTTTTTTTTTTACTCCGGCACTACAATTAAACACAATCCTAAAAGGGGCTTAGAACCTTCTTCACTCCGTGTTTGGAAAATGGGACCATAAATTTGGCTTGCTCAAGAGTCCCTTTCTTCTAAAAATTTTTATTTTTATTTTCCAAAATTATTCAATAGGAGTTAAAAATTCGGGTTCTTACCATTCGCGGACTGACCTTTAAACTGCCCAATCCATTCTTTAGGGGGCAATTCTGGAGGGTTCATTCTCCACGGAACGTACCCAGTATTGCCAGATTAAAAATTTTTACACCCTCTCAGTATTGCTCCTGAGTAAAAGAATCGTCGGGACTTTTTTCATTTCTTTTACCCAATCTGTCTAATTCCCAAACTTTTTATGCACGGGCTCAACACCACCCTAGGAAAATTAACGGGTACGACTTCATGATAAGACCCATTTATTTTTTGTAGTTCCTTAACATGAATTTACGAGGAACCTACCAACATTACAGGGCCTCCTGCGTCTTCAAAAGGGACACCACATTCTTTCCAAAAACCCTTTTACAAAGGGGGGCATAATAGTCCCACCTATCAAAATATTTATTGGGCCTACAGAATCTCTTTTAAACCCCAGAAGGGCAAAAAATTTACTTTATGTGAAAGTCTTTCGTACTTACTAATCCTACTGTAATATTTTCTCTGGAAGTCTATCTACAATTACTGCTTAACACTTTTTCTCTTGCCGAACCTACGTTACATAAACAGGCAACAATGACCCTTTTACCGAAGAAAACCAATAATTTAAAGTTGTGGGATCCCCCACTGTACTTTCATACCATAAAGACATTTACGTTTTATAAAGTCCCGGGATCCGTGTCCAATAATGCAGTTACATTTTTGTTTACCCTTTTATCATCTTTTTTCCCTGTAACACAGGAAGGCTACTTCGCAAAACCTCATTATTAACTTTACAGCTTTTTTTTTTTTTACATTACCCCACTGTTTGTCAGGATTGTCAACTTTATCATTATTAAAACTTTTTATTAACTTTTACACTGACTATTGGTGTTTTCCCTTTTTGTGACATTGAAAAGAAGTTTAATTTTGGAAACAACCCTTTTACTGTATTACCAAACCTGAACATCGTCAATTTTCCTCCAATTTTTCAACTTTATCACCCATAAATTGTATGCTTTGCAATTTCTTAGATAAATAGCAACCTTGCAGAAAGACATCTCTCTTTTCTCTGACGGGTTTCTTAAAAACGGGCTACTTTTAGAGGGTACTTTATTCTTCTACCTTGTGGAAATAAATATTTCTGTTCCTGCTACTTATACTATATGAAAACCTTTTTAGGAAAGAATTTTATTTTTACTATTGGGATAATTTCTCCCTTTGTAAACTTTGACAATACCTCAGATTTTTAAACCCTCAAGTTATTATATTTTTGCATTTTTTAAAATGAGTTGTTGGGCGGGTCTGCAACTGCAAAATTTAATCCTTGTAACCTTTCTTATTTCCCCCAAACCCAAAATTCCCCTTTGGAATTCATTTGAATCCTTTAAATTTTTTTACATTTAATTTTTCTGAAACCTGCACTCAATAACCAGTCGTTCCTTCAGTTTAAATTTTTATTACTTAAAGTTTGAGAGTGCTCTCCAGTTTAACTCAAAACTGCTTAAACCTTTTTGTAAGGTGAACTGGAGATTTTAAATTAAAAAATAAATCATAATCCAACCTCTTGTTCATTTTACCATAATGACTTTAAACAATCAACTGTTTCCCCTTAAGATCATCTACTTTGGGGAAAGGTTTGTAGAGATGTAGTACTTTCCTTTCGCCCTTCAGTAAAAAATTTATTTACACAGGCAGGTCACTCCTGCATCACCTGCTTAAAATTGCCCAAAAATTTCCCTCCCAAATTTTTCTCTGGGATTAAACACAGGTAAACATAATTCTGGGAGTTTTGGCAAAGACACATTATTTGTTGGAGCAGACTGACCAGCTGCCTGGTTTACACATTTTAATTTACTCAAGGCCTGACTTTTACAAGAAAGAATCTTTTCCTCTAATTCATAATACTGATTAATCATGAGATCTACTTCAGTCTCATCTACACAGTTTACTAATAAATCTCCTTCATATTTGTTGTAATATAATTTGTATGAATCATATCTATTACCTAAAGCATCTAAATACAATTTTAAATCATCAGTATTCACAGTTTCCTGATTCATTAATTCCAAGCACTTATTATATGCCTTGGTTACATGAACTTTTCTAGCTTGCAGTGATGCTTTACTCTGTATTCCATATGTTTGTCTTCTATATTAATTTCCTCATTTTCAGCCATGATGCAATGTATTAAATTCAACTTTATTAATAACACTGAATACAACTTACAACACTGATACAACTTACCTTTGAATAAATCCTAGCTACTTGAGCTTAGCAATTACATGTATAATATAAATTTTAAATGTACATTAATACAAACTTGGCTCATCAAAATTAATATTGTACAAATTAATAAATCCTTGCCAGAATTTGGCATAGCAAAATTAATATACACATTAATAATTAGCTACACATGGCTTATCAATTACACATACACTGATATAAATCTTGGCCAGAATTGTCTTATCAAATTAGTATTATACAAATTAATTTAAACTTAGCCAGACTTGAGCTTAGCTTATCAAAATTAATATTGTAATTATTATAATCTACTACACATTAAGTAAATTTGTGAACTTAACATCCACCTCCTTCTGTTATTTCACATATAATTATTAAGTAATTAACTAATTAATGACTTCACTAATTACCTCCGGTTCATGAAGGACCAACGGGCAAATTAAATATGGAAAATTGCATTTACCTGAATGTAACTAATTATGTACATAACAGTAAATGATATCAAAGATAATTATTATTTATCAATGTTACATAGACAAGTATGAATTTGAGACACCTAGGTCGCAAAAAATGTCCCCCTTCGATACCTACCACTGTCATAACCACAAGTTGCTCTGGACCTATTAATTAAATGAAATATACATACACCAGGAATACTGGTAAATATATAAATTTGTGGACTGTATATTAAAAAATGATTATATATAAATTCACATATACATAACAGAAGGAAAATATATCTTACTATCACTCACCAATATGACTGGATATTAAGTTGTATCATACTCAGAAAAACCTCACTAACTAAATTTATGAAAACACTGGCCAGAATTATACAGAAATCTAGAGAGCTTATCTGAGGTTCCTGGAGCTGTCTTGTCCAGTCGTCTGATATCTCAAGTTATGCAGGAATGCATGTCAGCCCAATTTTAACCTCTAGAGCACGAAAATTCCTTCCCATTACACTAACGTTGTATCCAATTTAAAACCAAGATGGCGAGTCTCGTCCTACGCAGGCGCAGCTTCCCGTTTTCGATTACATAAATTTTAAATACAGTATGGCCATCTATATACATTTAATAACTACTGTATTTCTGAAAAATATGTACAGTATTTTCCACAATAAACATACCATTTTATATTAAGAATGTGTTTTCCAGTCTTGTGAAAATTTACACTTATACTGTAAATAATTTCTGCACTGTAGTAAATATATCCACTAATATTGTAAATAAGTCCACTATTATGAAAATAACCAATATATATACCCTCCATGTTGTGAAAATATTCTCGTATATTGTGAATATTTCTTCCAATATTTTAAGTATCTACCAATATACTGGATGTAATCGCAAATTATATGAAATATCCTGCAATATTGAGTACAAATCCACAAATATTGAGTACTTATCCGCCAATCTAGTCAGTATATCCTCTAATATAACGAGTATATCCAGTAACATTTAGAATATATCCTCCAATATTGATTGCAGTACAGTTATTGCATCTCAGAAAAGACAGTTTTACGAGGTGCAACTTACCACTCCCATGTTGATAAGAGACGGTGTTACTGCGATCACTGATCTCGGATTTCTCAGGCACCGATGATGCTGCCTCAGTGCTATATGTAGAATAAGCAGGTGGTGGGGAAGGATGGGAAGGAGGCAACCTTGAATTTAGCCAAGATAAGCGGTGGGGACAGGATAGTTGCCATAATGGAGGGACGTGGATTTGTCATTTTAATCTTTATTATCCACTGTTATCATAAGTTCTTTATCTGCTGCTTTAATTTCATGTAATTGAATCTACTTAAATTGTCATTACCTTTCTAACTTCATCATCTGCTTCAGTGTTGTTGCTTTTTGCAATTCCACTGTAATGGTAAGCAAGTATCACCCTACAGCAGACAGTTTGCTGGACCGCAGCAGTTCGACAACTAGCGTGAACACAAGCGGCCTGGCCACGGTTTTCCGAACATTAATTCAGATGATTTCAGTTGTAAGTTTCATCAGTCGGAAGGCGAAGCAGTGAGTCCCCAGGAAATATTCACTGAAATATTACTTTAAATTTTTTTTCCTGTGATTAAGTATAGTTAGTATTTAGTAACTTGTTGGATCACAGGCTTAGGGACCTGAAGTATGGACAGGATCTTAACCTAACAAATTAACTGCAGCTGAATAATTTGTTTGATCAACAAATCACTAAAAAAGTTAAATAACTAACATATTTTCCTGTTTCAAGAAAGAAAAGAGGATATGTTCCTAAAATACCTTATTACTTTGATATTAGTGTTAGATAATAAGTATCCTCATTATAATAATTATAAATATCTGAATGAAGCATTATACTTAACATAGATTTGATGATAAAAAATGACAATGATAACTCATTATTTGTTTTGTATATATACATGTAAGAGTTGTGACTCAAAAATTCTCACATATTCTGTTGACTGCATTTGTTTATGGGAATCAAAACCTGGATCAGTGACGCGTTCACTGATACAAAACACCAGATGATGCTGAATACTAGAGGAATTCCCCTTAAATATTCAGGGAACTACTCAAGGAATTTCCCTTGCGTGCTTCCAGTGTTCAGATTTTCCCTTGTGGGGTAAAATCCCAGTACAGATTCGTCCGGATTTATGAACCCATAACCGGATTCAAAAGCTGACAGCTTTTTTCTAGGCGCCTATACACTCAACCTGATTGGAAAATAAAGAAATGAATCCCTGATCAGTGCATAAGCTCACGGGTTCTTGGGCTGCCGTATCAAACCAAACATCCAAACAGTTACTGCTAGCAGCGGTACGATTGTTCCATATCAAATCACAGTATATATACTAGTGCACACACACACACACATATATTATATATATAATATAATATAATATATATATATATTATATATATATATATATATATATATACATGTTGTGTGTTTTGTGTGTGTGTGTGTGTGTGTGTGTTGTGTGTGCATAGACATGTATGCACATGGTTCCTGACCAGCAAAATGTGATCAGTCATGAGGTCTCTTCACAAAATTCAGTTTCAGTAACAAAAACATACAATGGGAACAAACATTTGCCTAGAAATAAATGAACTCTGAGGTTCTTGAGATCTTGCTCAACACACATTCCATTAAAAGAAAGAAAAGAGAAGATGTAAACTAGAAAGAGAGAGATGCTCCTTATATAGACGAAGACAAAGAGTCACAGGGCTGCTGAGAGGGGCAAATATATCTGAAATACGAAGGGAGGCACTTCCTTCCTGACCAGTGCATGAAATCACAGCTTTCCTATGTTATATACATTTTTATATTGGATGTCAACTGTTTCCTGTGATCTTATTGTTTGGCAGTAAGAGACTAACTTCCAGCCTATGCAGCAAGCTCAACATCTGGTATATGGATGGTGGCACTCTGGCAGGTACTGAACAGTCCCTGCTAGAGGACCTACAACTGTTGAAGACACAATTATCACAACGTCTGCCTCATGGTAGGCGAAAACACATGACGCCTTTATCCACTGAACTATACGATCCTTAAGAGTAGGGCATCCAGCGGAACTGGATGTGGTACTCCCTACCCAAGAACACACGATGGTGTGGATATGACTAGGCTAATTTCATTCTACTCCCTGTTTGGTGTGCTAGTTCGTATGGTTCAGTGATAAGGCGTCATCTGTTTTCGCCCACCATGAGGCCAGCCCAAAGCAGCATGGTTCGAGTCCTTGGCTAGTGCAGTATTGTTATTGATATAATATATATAATATATATATATATATATAATATATATAATATATATATATATATATAGATATATAATATATATATGCTGCCAACATGCTCAGGACTGCAACATCAGATAAGGAGATTGCCCGTCTCCAGGCTGTGAGTGCACATCACTCCGGGGACTTCCTCCAAACAATTCCCATATCGGCAGTGGGAACGCGACTCGACCCTAAGACCCTCCGTATTGCAGTGGCTCTGCACCTTGCTGCCCCAATTCACACAGAATATACGTGTATTTACGGCGAAGCGCAAGCAGACCAATACGGTCTACATGATCTTAACTGTTCCAAAACCAAGGGCTGGCATGCAAGACAAAATGAGGTCAACGACATCATAAAGAGAACCCTTGCTACAGCTGGATGCCCAGCCGAGAGGGAGCCCTGATCACTAGCAGCCAACAATATCCACAACCCAGCAAACCGCCCCGACTGGATCGCCATCTATCCTTGGAAGAATGGCAAGCTCTTAGCATGGGACTATACCTGTGTGTCCACACTGGCTGACACCTATATCCATCACAGTGGGGGGCGACAGGGAGGAGCTGCTGACCACAGGGAGGAATACAAGATCAGCAAGTACAGGGACATAAGCCAACAGTATCAATTTGTCCCAGTGGGATCAGAGACCTTGGGATCATGGGGAAAAATGCCACATGTTTCCTCAAAGAATTGGGTTCCAAACTCATTGACACCACCAGGGACCCAAGGGCAGCCACTTTCATGTTCCAGCGCCTCAGCATAGCCATCCAGAGGGGAAATGCTTGCTGCATACTTGCCTCGCGTCCAGCCTCGGAGGAGCCGGAGGAAATTCATGATCTTTGATACATTGTGCTATTGTATTCATGTTTATGTTTTTCTGTAAATGTGTTCTGTTTAATTAATTAATGTTCACATAGAATATCAAATATAGGGGGTGGTAGGAGAAGAAAATATTCAAACAGCTTCGGGGAGAACCTTGAGTTTTCCCTGAGGTACGTTTATTGTCTTCTCTGAGGATGAGGATCCCCATTCCACCATAGAGGTGGTACCTCCCTATATGTATTTTTTTTTAAATTATAAAATATATATATATATATATATATATAATATATATATATAATATATATATATATATATATTATATATAATATATATATATATAGAGTAGTCACGAAAGCGCTTGGAATTTCTCTATTCTTTCAGAGTGGTTGTTTTGCATATTTTGAAATCACCTGTTTACTGTGATCTTATTGCATATAATATTATATATATATATATATATAATATATATATATAATATATAAATATATATATATAATTATATATAATATATTTTCAGGAAGAAATTGGAAGAGTTAAGGAGAATGGAACAAGGAATAGGCAGTCTGGACACCCACGATGCCTTGTACCTTCTCACAAAGTGCTTGAGTCTGCCCAGGTTGACATATTTCCTAAGATGTGCACCTTCATATGATAACCCTATACTGCACGAATATGACAGTTTCCTGAGGCAGATTTTTACGGAATTACTTAACCTTACTCTAGAAGACGGGCAGTGGAACCAAGCTTCACTTCCAGTCAGACTAGGAGGCATTGGTGTCCGCAAGTCATCACAGATTGCGTTACCTGCTTTTCTGTCCTCGTGTATTGCATCCAGAGAGCTTGTAGCAGCGATTCTCCCTACACATCTTAGGAACAAGATTGGAGTCCAGGACCAAAAGTTCACTGACGGAGCCATGATCTGGGATAATCTATTGGGCTCTGAAACCAGACCTGCTCCCCCCAACAACTACAAACAATCGCAC